GCGGGACCCTGGGGTCCGTGTGCATGGGGAGCAGGTGTATGAAATCAATGGCAGGTTGGCGCCTATCTGATCTCCCACTTAAAATTTTTCTTTGGAAGATAAGAGTGATATGGATTGGTGTGTTAGGAAAAAACTCAAACTCAATTTTCTCCTTGGCTCTCACGCCACAATCATCAATGCAGAAGACTTCTGTGACCAAATGCCTGGGGGTTCTCCCCACACACAAGTAAGCAATCATTTCTGCAGCAGACACTGGCTGGGTGTCCTTCGAGTCAATTCAATTCCAACATCATCTGCTAGGAGATGGCAACAGATCCTATGTTTAATGAGGGCTCAGTCTCACAAGACCACAACTCCCTTCCTACCAGTTACAAATCCAGGCCTCTGGAACTTCTACCCAACTGGCTTTCAGTTGGGGCTCCCACGACTCCCTCATTTGCTGGAATGACTCATAGAACTTACGAGAACACTTAGGTTTGCAGGTTTATTATGAAAGATATTACAAACAATACAGATGAAGAGATACGTAGGGTGAGATATGGGGTAAGGGACACAGGGCTTTCATACCCTTCCTGGTCACACTCCCTCCTGGAACCTCCACCTATTCAGCTATCTGTCCTTTCTGGGCTTTAATGGAGGCTTCATTGGAGGCTGCATTACATAAGGGTGATTGATTAAGCCACTGGTGATCAGCTTACCCTCCAGCCCCTCTCCCTTCTCCTAAGGTTGGGGGTGGGGCTGAAAACCCAACCCTCTAATCCTGCCTTGGTCTTTCTGGTGATCAACCCTTGATCTACCTGAAGCTATCTAGGTGCTGCCAGGCCTCAGTCAGCTCATTAGCACACAAAAAGACAACCTTTGGAGTTTCTAAGGACTTTAGGAGCTGTATGCCAGGAAATGGGGTTGAAGACCAAATATATTTATCACAATAGGCAAAAAGATTCAACATAAGAAGGTAAAGAAGATTTAGAAATAAAGACAGAAAGATGGAGGTGAGAGTGACAGTAAACAGAAAGAGTAGAAAGGTAAGTAGAAAATGATTAACTGAAGCAGAAAGAAGAGTGGAATTGTTACAGGAAAGGGGTCCCCAACCAGATCTCAAGAGAGGGTTCTTGGATCTCACACAAGAAAGAATTCAGAGGGAGTCTGCAGTACAAAGTGAAAGCAAGTTTATTAGGAAAGTAAAAGAATATAAGAATGGCGACTCCATGGACAGAGCAGCCCCGAGGGCAGCTGGTTGCCCATTTTTATGGTTATTTCTTGATGATCTGCTAAAAAGAGTTGGGTTATCTAGGCCTCCCCTTTCTAGACCATATAGGGTACCTTCCTGATGTTGCCATGGCGTTGGAAACTGTCATGGCACTGGTGGGAGTGTAGCAGTGAGGATGACCAGAAGTCACTCTCATTGCCATCTTGGTTTTGGTGGGTTTTGGCCGGCTCCTTGACTGCAATCTGTTTTATCAGCAAGGTCTTTACGACCAGCATCTTGTGCTGACCTATCTTATCCTGTGACTTGGAATGCCTCAACCATCTGGGTGTCAGCCTCATGTTTCATGTCAGCTCCTCTTCAAGATGGAGTTGCTGTGATTCACACACCTCTGACAGAATTAAGAGAGAGAAAACGAAAGAGACCACAGAAAAACAGATGGAAGTCCATGAAAAGGCAGAAATTCAGAGACGCAAAGAGGCCAAGGGTGCAGAGGTGTGGAGGGAGGCCTGGGAGAGAGTTGGGAGGGACGAAGCCCTTGTCCTGGGTTCCTTCTTTCCCCACCCAAATGCCTTGTTCTCCGTTGCAAATGGAAGGAGCCGGAGCCCAAGTGAAGCACCTGTCTTCATTGCTGACACCCAGCTGGGCTGCGGGAAGTGTCAGAGGCAGCTGTCTTCTTTGCTTTGGCCCTCCAGTGGGCTCTGCAGAGGAGCTGGGCTGGACTGAAGGGAGGCCTGACTTGATGTATTAGCTTGGGGGTGCCCCTCTTGACCCTCTTTTGTTTGTTTTTGAGATGGAGTCTCGCTCTGTTGCCTAGGCAGAGTGCAATAGCGCTATCTCGTGATTCTCCTGCCTTGGCCTACCGAGTAGCTGGAATTACACGCACCCACCACCACGCTCAGCTAATTTTTGTATTTTTAGTAGAGACAAGATTTCACCATGTTGGCCAGGCTGGTCTTGAACTCCTGACCTCAGGTGATCCACCCGCCTTGGCTTCGCAAAGTCCTGGGATTACAGGGGTGAGCCACCGCTCCTGGCCCCTCTTTCATTTTTGATGAAACAAAATCAGAAGCTTAGTTAGTGGAAGGTCAAGGACCTCCCAATTCCAAGGGGGAGACTGCATTGTAATAAACATGGATCGAGGCAGTTGCTGGGGTCCTGCCCCACGTGGTTAGTGGCATTGTTACTTACATGCCAATGCTTTTGCTATGAGCTGCAAAAGTGGGAATCCCTTGAGCAGGGAGGGTTGGTTTTGTGAAGTCAACTCATAATGGGGATGGAGGCTTAGTCAGTGACACCCACGTATCTAGAGAAAGAAAGTGCCATGGTGGGGGGTGGTCATGGGTGCAGAGGAAATGGGCCTCATGGATCCAAGCTAATCTGTGTCCAGCAGCCCAGGTCACAGGAAGGGCTGTCGGGAACAAGAGCAGGTTCTGCTAACAGCAGTGTCCTCTGTGGGGTTTTCCCAGGGCTCAGGTGAAGTATTCCCCGCCCCTCCCACTTCCTTTGATCTGACTGTGTTCATCTCTTAACCTAGTTACTGATTCTGCTTCCCTGGAGCACTGATGCCAAGAAGAAGGTAGCTCCAGTTGGGGACCTGCCACTCTAGTCTCTGAAATGATTTACTGGTTAAAACACGCAATACATTGGCATAGAAGCAGCTAGAAATGCCACTCGTTGAGGAAGCACTTGCTAAATGCTCTCTGGGAATCCGTCATCCAGTCTTTCCCATCTCGTGAGGTGGGCATTATTTTTTCCATTTCACCTGCAGGGAAACACGTTCAGATCTGGGGTTTGAAGCTGGATCTCTCTGCAGCTGAAGCCTGGGCTCTTCACCTCCCTTCTTGGAGGAGGTGGGGTTGAAGGCGATGCTGGGTTTATGCCTTGGCCTGTCTCTAGCCGCTCAGTCATCCCCACTGTGGGTGTCACATGTCTGTCACTGAATGGCAGTGCAAGGTGTCCTGTCTCCAAACAACAGGGCCACGAACATATGCTAGATCGGGTGACGCAGCAGAAGCAGTGCCTCTGTGAGGCTCTGCTGGCCTGGATGCCTCTCACTGGAGTTCCTCAAACTGCAACCAGGACACAGTGACGTGAGGCCACAGGGCTGGAGAGAGGCAGCATGGAAGTGCTTTCTCTGTCCGTCTTTTACTCATAGATCAAAAAAGGAAAATTAACAGAGGGCCGGGGTCGGGTCTGCCTGGGGATCCAAAGGAAGAGGGTGGCCATGTGGGAAGGCTGACAGGACAGCTGGCTGGCTAAGAGAGACTTGGAAGCCAGATTGGAACCAGCATTCCAGGGGACCTGGAGCTGGCAGGGCATTAGAGGAAGGGGTGCGGAGGGAAACAGCCAGAGGGACCCCCTGGACTCTGTAGAAGGGAGTTCCAGACAGCCAGTGGCAGTGGCTAGCCCAGATCCCCAGAGGGCCCAGAGGAACACAGGATGCTAAGCCTAGAAGGGAAAGACTGCCAAGGACAATCCCCAGGTGAGCTTGGCGACCAGCCCTGGTTGCCACCACTAAGGCTTCTGTAGCTGCCTGGCCTCTGTCCTGCCCTCCACTCTGACCTGAGGAGAAAACTGCTGATGACATTGGCTGAATCAAAATAGACTGCAGCAAAGCCCTGACTCATGCCTTCCAATGCCAATAGACTTCATTTTGTATTTCCCAGCTCTTTCCTTAGCACCAAGAGCTATTATCGTTGCAAGAGATGTGTAGGGGAAGAGAAAGTGGTTGCTCATACTCACAGCATGTGAAGTGGGGCTGAGACTCCTGTCCTGGGAGAAGGACGTCAGCCTCCCACCCCATCCCTGTTCACCTGAGAGGTGGTGGGATGGGGCAGTGGTCTGAGCTCTGGGCAGAGACTCCAGGCAGGCCACATGGGTGAGGGACCTGGTGGAGAGGCATGTGAGTGGATAGGGTTTGAGGGAGCCCCCAGAGCGTGGGCATTGGGTTGGCGATAAGGGGCCTGGGCTAGGGCACAGCACTGGCTGCCTCCTAGTGCCCCACCCTGACTCCTCTCCTCCTGGGCCCTCACAGGTGGGTCTGCAGGTGTGTCTGCCAGGGCAGTGCAGCCTCTACTCACTCCCAGGCTCAGGGCTATGAGAGAAAATGCTAATCATTCCCTGCCTGTAGTTGCTAGCTTGCTTCAGTACTTATCTTCCCTGTCACGGAGGGAGTGGGAGGTCTGATCCCTAAGCCTGCGTGGGAGCCTGGATTCTAGACAAGTTTATACAGTAGGACTGAGTACCTCACCCGGCGTCTCAGATGTGGGGATTTGTAACAGCAGTCCAGGGTTTCATCTGGGCTCAGAGCGAGGCAGGGCTCTGGGAATCCAGGCTGCTTTTCCAGGTGAGGCGGCAAAGGAATGGAGGCAGAGCCACGCGGGAAGACCTGCCGAGACGGAAGGATCCTGATGGACCCCAGGGCTCCCAAAGGCCCATCAGTTGCTTGCCTGGGCCCCAAAGCCCCTGTTCTGTGCTCTTGGGTTTTGTCTTGTTTTGAGATGGAATTTTGCTCTGTCGCCCAGGCTGGCGTGCAGTGGCGTGATCTCGGCTCACTGCAACCTCCACCTCCTGGGTTCAAGTAATTCTGCCTCAGCCTCCCGAGTAGCTGGGACTGCAGGCACACACTACCACGCCTGGCTAATTTATTTATTTTTTTTTAGTAGAGACGGGGTTTCACAATGTTGGTCAGGATGATCTTGATCCCTCGACCTCATGATCCACCCTCCTTGGCCTCCCAAAGTGCTGAGATTGAGTTTTTAACGACAGCAGCCAACTTGTGTGTCATGCTTCACAGTTGGCAAAGCCCTTTCACACATTCTGCACTCTGAGTTGTGTTTATGAGGCTGCTCATGTTCCAAGCAAGAGGTGAGCCCTCGGCGAGTGTCAGAGCCCAGACCCCTGCAGGACTGTGGGCTCCACGCTGGGCGCTCTCCCCTCCTCTCAGCACCTGTGTGAGGGGTGAGGGGCACCACTCCCCTCCCATTCTGAGAACTCCCCACCCCCAGGCTCCCATGCCTGGGCATCACAGATGACAGCGTACTTCACGTGACCTCACCTCTTTTAGAGACTTCTCACATTGGAGCAGTGGTGTGGGATGATATTTACTATGAATAAGAGATCCCACGCCCCCCGGGTTATAACCCCTCTACAGGATGGCAGGGGGCTTGAAGATCTTCTGCCACATACTCTGGCTTCTGCAGACCCTAATGCTGGATGGGGTAGGTGCCGGAAGTGCCTAGTGACTTGGACTGAGGCTCTGCAGAGACAGCAGCCTCGGACAAACCCAAGTATGGAGGACCTGGGAAGGCCCCTGTCTCTGGACAAGACCCTGGCCTGGCGGGAGGTCTCCCTCAGCTCTGCCACCACACTCTGGGGACGTTTCTGTTCCATTTGCCTCTTTTGACCTCTCTCCTGCTTCTCTGTAGTTACCAGCAAAGTCTCAGAAGCACTCGCTGCTTTAGGGATAGGAAGGTGGGGAGAGGTTCCGAAGCTGCGGCCACCTCTTCTGCAGAAGGGTGACTCCCACCTCATTTCTTCCCCAGGTCCCCCAAGCTGGGCTGTTGGTCACCTCTCAGAGCAGTCTGGCCTGGAAGCGGGATGTACTCAGCGCTGCAGGCCTTGGGTTCCGGGTGGACCCAGATGGGTGTCCTGGGTTTTTGGTTTCCAGCCTGCACTGGCCCTGCTTTGATAGAGAGGTCCCCGCCTCCAGTTCCCTGAGGTTCTGATTTTTCTCTTGTGCTTCCAGGTAGATTTCTAGTTTCGCTTCTACTCCAAGCCTGGTCCCTGGCAGGCACCTCTTACCCTGTGGTTTCGTACCCCCATTCTGTGCCCTGTCATTTCTTCTTGTGCCCAGGCTACAGCTGCTTGCTGGTCCCTTGTCCACAGCTGCCCACCTGCCCAGGCCTGTGCCTCTCCTGCCCTGGGTCCATATGCAGCTCTCGCCCCTTCCCCACACTCCTGGCCTTGCGGTGAATACTGAAGCTGAGACTGGGATAAGAGGAGAGAAACCTCAGTGCAAGGAGGGGCGGGCCCGGGAAGAGGAGACAGTGGATCACCGTGGGGGCTGCAGGCTGGTCCTACTAGGTGCGTGGCAGCCAATGCACGCTCTGCTGCAGGGACCCTGCTCTCCTGGCCCAGCAGAACAGTGTCACAACAGGGTGACTGGCCCCCCAGGCCACAGGGGCCTGAGACACATTTTTAAGTGAGTGACAAACCGTTCTCTAATTAAGCAGGACAACTAATTAGCTATCACTATGACCTGATGTCAACTAGGTCACAGGGTCAATAGAGTTGAATCCCTGCCTGCGGTTACCCTATCCTGCAGCCAGGTATCAAATTATAGGCTTGGATGAACTGGAGACGGATGTCATTGTTTATTTTGAACAATGTCTGTGTTTCATTCCACAAAAATTGCGTCTCGGCATCACCGAGCTCAGCCTCCGGTCATCCTCCGGTCCTGCGCTGCCATCCCTCCAACCTTCCCACCCTCGTGCCTGAATGCCATCTGCTTTCTGCCTCATAAAGAATCCCAGCTGCCAACCCCTCCGATTTCCCTCACTTCATCAGCCCCTTCCTGGCTTTGCTTTCAGCCCCCAAGGTGAATCCTCTCAACACACCACTCACTTGCAAATATACTACCTTCATCCTTGTTCTTCTGCCACACCCAGCCAGCACCACTGCAGCCCTAGAGCAGGCCAGACATCCACCCACACCACCCTGCACCTGGGTGCTGAAAAGTCCTTCAGCCACAGGGTGGTGACCACAGCAACATCACTGCCTCCAGCACCCAGCAGAAATTCCACCCACAGCAGTGTGTCACCTGTGTGCTCACGGTCAGCTCTCTCACCACGGTGGCTCTGTTCATGTTTCAGAGTGCTCTGCAAGGTGCCCATCGTGCCTCCCCTCCCCCAATGCTGTCATCAGATGCTCTGACCTCCTACTCCACAGAGGAAGCGGGAGGTCTGCAGACAGGAAGGCATCATGTCTTGCCTCTCCTTATCCCTCCCACTCCCATTCTCACATCTATATCCAGACCCTTCCTGAGTGCCCTTCAGTTTCCAGGAAGGTTTATCCCTATCCCTTCAAAGCCTTCTGAACTCAAGACAGAGTGCCAACTGGCAGTTCCTTCTGCGCCTTCAGTGCCGCCCTTTCTCCAGCAGGTAGCTATGCCCACGTCTCCCTTCCTCCAACACAACACTCTCCCTTGAGGCTACTGCGGCTCTAGCTGTGGCCAGACCTCTGTCCTTCCCCTCACCACTCAGCTTGGGGAGCGAGTGGCCAACACTTGTCATCTCCAGTTCTCAAGGAAATGTGTGGCCTGGCTCTTTTTCTCCTTTCTTCACCACCTCCTTGCATCTCCATCCACGCTACACCCCTCGGTGGCCTGGCCTCTGCCCCCTTTATTCCTCTGGAGCTGTGTTTGCAGAGGCCACCGATGACCTCCGTTGTGACTTCTGCAAATGGTGTTCAATGACATGGCTTGCCTCTGCTGCAGAGTTGGCCTGTCTTCCTGGAGCCTGTCTCACACCGTGATTGTCCTTCTGCCTGGATCTTCTCCGTCATCTCCACTTTGTATGTCGGCGTTCCGAGGGTTCCTCTGTGCCCTCTCTTTTTCTTGCTTTTATTCTCTCCCTGGGGATGTCATCTTCTGTGCTTGCACCTATCACCTGGGTGCTGATCTCTCCCAGATTCAGCTTTCTGGTCCAGAGGACCCTCCTGAGCTCTTATCCATTGCCCAGTGAACATCTCCTCGTGAGGTCTGGCAGGTACCTTGAACCCAACAGGACGATGGCACTGCCTTCCTGCATGTCCCCATTTTGAGCAGTGGCACTGCCATCTACTCTGTTGCCTAATCGTTACCCAGGAGTCACCAGGCCTCCCCTCTCTCCCTAACTTACTACCTCCAATTGATCGCTCAGTTCTGCTGACCTTCTCTTCCTGATGTCCTATCCACCTCTCCCCTGTGAAGAGGAGGCTGAGAATGAATTGCATAGAGTCTCTGACTCAGAGTCCTTCAAGAGCCAGGGGAAACTGAAGGAAATGACTAGACATATTTAACAAGGAGTGGGGGACACTCGCAGAACGCATGCCTCACTGAAAGACGTCACATTCAGGCATGAATTCAGCACTGCATGGGTCAAAAAAAAGCACAAACAAAGCCTGTCTTGGGTGGAGGTGGCAGGGCCGGGATGGTGGTGGCAGGTGTGACACGGAGTGGGTAAGGCTGTTGAAATGGAACAGCTGGTGGGGTCCTTAGGAAACCGAGAATAGGGCTATGCTGACTTCCTGCAAGATGGGGTCTCTATACTTCAGCTGGCCCTGGCAGAAAATGCAGGCATCTTGGGGGCCCTGGAATTTGAGAGATCCACTCAGAAACTGGCAAACCAACCTTGGCAGCCGCAAACAGGAGTGTCATACCAGAGACACAGGAGCCAGGGATGGCCTTCCATACTTGGAACTGATGATAATTCCAAAAGACACAATCCTGAATGTTGAAATCCCGAATGTTCAAAATCCCCCAAAATAGGCCTGGCACAGTGGCTCACGCCTGTAATCAGCACTTTGGGAGGCTGAGGCAGGTGTATCACTTGAGGTCAGGAATTTGAGTCTAGCCTGGTCAACAGGATGAAATCCTGCTTCTGTCAAAAAATATAAAAATTATCCAGATGTGGTGGTGGGCACCTGTAGTCCCAGCTTCTCAGGAGGCTGAGGTGGGAAATCTGCTTGAACCCAGGAGGTGGAGGTTGCAGTGAGCTGAGATCATACTACTACACTCCAGCCTGGGCAACAGAGATCCTGTCTCAAAAAATAAAATAAAACAAAATAAAATAAAATAAAATAAAAATCCTGAAAATCAAATTATGGAAAAAAACCATAGAAACATTCATTAAAACATAATTATTGGCCGGGTGCGGTGGCTCACGCCTGTAATCCCAGCACTTTGGGAGGCCGAGGCGGGTGGATCACTAGGTCAAGAGATCGAGACCATCCTGGTCAAACATGATGAAACCCCGTCTCTACTAAAAATACAAAAAATTAGCTGGGCATGGTGGCGCGTGCCTGTAATCCCAGCTACTCAGGAGGCTGAGGCAGGAGAATTGCCTGAACCCAGGAGGCGGAGGTCGCGGTGAGCTGAGATCACGCCATTGCACTCCAGCCTGGGTAACAAGAGCGAAACTCCGTCTCAAAAAAAGAAAAACAAAAACATAATTATTTACATTTCAAAGGGGATTTATATTGGAAACATAAAAACACAACAGAACGCTTTTTTTTTTTTTTTTTTTTTGAGACAGAGTCTTGCTGTCACCAGGCTGGAGTGCAGTGGTATGATCTCGGCTTACTGCAACCTCTGCCTTCTGGGTTCAAGTGATTCTTCTGCCTCAGTCGCCTGAGTAGCTGGGACTAAAGGCATGTGCCACCATGCCCAGCTAATTTTTGTATTTTTAGTAGAGACAGAGTTTCACCATGTTGGCCAGGATGGTCTCAATCTCTTGACCTCGTGATCCGCCTGCCTTCGCCTCCAAAAGTGCTGGGATTATAGGCGTGAGCCACCAGGCTAGGTCAACAGAACACTATATCCATGTTACACAATAAAATAGGCAGTGATAACATACATATTTTTGCAAGCATAAACACTCAGGTACTGACAGTTGCATGGATATAAGAGTTATGAGCAGATGAACCATTTTCAGAAATAGGTCAAAAAGGGCAAGAAATAAATGCATGTCACTATGGTTGGTACTTATGTGCACCCAGGTTTAGGACTGTGTTCACTGAAATAACAGGATGAGCAAAGAAAGTCTTTCCAAGAATTTGATCAAAAACTTCAATGGATCACCACCAAAGATGCAGTTGTCTAAATAACTGAGATTTCAAGACACTTTAACTTCACAAAGGCAGATGTACAGAGGTCCAAAGAGCTGAGATTCCAAGAAATTTTAACTTCCCAAAGGCAGATGTACAGAAAGGACATCTCTTCATCCATTGGGAAAATTTCAGTGTTTTTATGTACACGCGCAATGCGTCCACACAAAGTTGACATTGTGATAATGCACTTTCAGAGATCTAAATTTGAAAAAAAAAAAAAAAAAAGGCTGCATAAAACAAATTAGAACTCTCTAATAAACTCTGTACAACTTATACCTCCAGTCTTGCAAATGATGCAAAGATGAAATACCTAGAATAGGGAATTATAAAAAATAATGCTGACAATTTAAAATAGCGAAAAAGAAAAAACAACAAAAAACGATCCTGTGATTGTGATTTTTGGGACTTTAGATGTTGGGGATTTAGGCTTTAGAGATTACGATGCTTTAGGATTTTAACATTTGAGATTACCGTGTTTGGGACTGTGTCTTGCTCCAACTCCTCGTTTTCCTCTCTGGGACCTTGTAGGCAGGTGTGGAGACCCTATCACTGTCAGGGGAGCAAGGGCTGGGTGGCGGTCTTTGGGACCTTGAATGAGATGAGTCCTCAAAATTCCTTCCAGGCTAAAGAGTAACACAAATTATAGGACTTGAGCCTCCAAGTGAATAAAAGCCTCTGTAAACACGTTGCTTTAGGCGGGTAAACAGCTATGCTGGACCACGTCCAAGGAATGCCCCACCTGTTGCCTCTGGTTCTTGGGGAAGGCACCATTTCAGCCACCAGAGGGCGCTCAGGTTCCAGGAATGGTTTCTCAGGATTGCTGCTTGGAGGAGTTGACTATGGAATCTGAGGGAGGGTGACCTGAGCATGGGAGCCATGCAGGTGGAACTCCAAGACTGAAGTCAGACCTTTTCAATCACTCTGCCATTGTCCCCAGCTAAGGCCATTTATTAATTCGTTTATGCAAGGAACATTTGTCCTGTACCTCGAAGGGGCCAGCCCTGACCTAGTAAGTCTTTTTTTTTTTTTTTTTTGAGAGAGTCTCGCTTTGTCTCCCAGCCTAGAGTGCAATGGCAGGATCTCAGCTCACGGCAACCTCCACCTCCTGGGGCTCAAGTGATTCTCCTGCCTCAGCCTCCTGAGTAGCTGGGATTACAGGCACCCGCCACCATGCCAGGCTGATTTTTGTATTTTTAGTAGAGGCAAGGTTTCACCATGTTGGTCAGCTGGTCTCAACCTCCTGATCTCAAGTGATCCATCCATCCATCTTGGCCTCCCTAAGTGCTGGGATTACAGGAGAGAGCCACTGCGCCTGCTGTGAGCTAATAGGTTTTGGAGACACAGAATCAGAAAAGCCTGTCTGGACGCTAGAGAGGCCATAAACTGTACTGGGAGGTGGGCCTTTGTCACTGCAGTCCCCTGCAGGGTATTTGTGCATGACAGAGGGACATACTGAGCGTGGTGGCTGTGCTCAGGTGGAAGAGTTGATTCTGTCTGGGACCTGGGAGATGGTTTCCTATTGTTGGAATTATTTGTCGTGGGTCTCAAAGGGTGGGGAGGAGTGCACCAGGCTGAAAGGTTTGGGGAGAGGCAGGGGAACATCATAAGCCAATGCATGTAAGTTTGGCTGGACAGGAAAATGCCCAGGTGGGAGTTGTGGCATGCGGCTGGAAGGTGGGGGCTTAGGCGATCAGATTAGGGAAGAGCTGGGGGCTTACCTCCGAGGAGAGAAGCATTCTATGTGGGAGCCAGGGCAGACTCGGGTTTTTTGGGGCCTGAAGCTTATATAGTTTTGAGGCTTTCTTAGATGAAGAATACAAAATTGTAAGTACAAAAGTAGGAAGAGGTGCTTGGAAGGGTCTGTGCAAGTGAGAGTCCTGAGGCTTAGCTTATTGGCCTCCTGGTGAATCCTCCTGTGCATGGGAGACACGTCTGCCACAATCTCCCTGCTTCCCTGCAGAGCCCTGGCCTGCCCTCAGCAGCTCCCCGCTGGCAGCAAACCACTTCCCTCTCACTCCTGCCTCTCACCCTTCTTGGGTCCCCTGAAGTCCCGAGCAGCCGCCTTAGAAGGCCGGACACAGGAAGCTGGAGTTTAGGGTTTCTTCTGGGGAAAGGGAGGCAGAGGTGCACAGCTGTTGGGGGAGGTGGGTGGTGACGACCTTTTCTATGGTGTCTATGCAAATAGCACCCCACCCCCATTGTTCCAAGAGCTACCTTTGAATCTGGCCAGCAACTCTTATGCACGCTTTAAACAACACACAGTGTGGAGGAGTTCTCCCACTTTGCCAGGCGC